TGAAGTGATACCACTATCAGTATCAGAAAAATACCTACATGTATCATCAGTTCTTCCATACAATTTATCACACTGACGTGATAAATTCTATTAACTCACAAACACCAAAGGTATTCCTTCCATAACAACACAGTTTGCAGGTAAGGGCTTTGTTTCGTGAGTTCCCAATACAATCACAAATGGATATCAAGACACTAATCGTTTCAAGTAACACTTGCACTATCAGTGTTTTGTTTCTGAATTCATATTTTTGTATGAATATTCTGATGAGGAAATGTGTCTTCTTTCAGATATTTTATACGACCACCTGTTAAAACCCACTCTTCTTCTTTTCTGATGAGACAATTGTGAAACATACTTTAATGTGTTTTTAATAATCCAAATACATGTACTGGTAATCTTTATTTTATGAAAAAATAAAATCCTTATTTATTGTAACTGGCCTTAAGCCAACATTGATCAATATTTTTATTCACATTTTATGTCCTCCATCTTGGTACATGTATCTGTAAAACAAGAAACTAAATTAATCAGTCTTAACTGTTTATTGGCCCATAATAAAAATGAAATGAGCATCTTTCTACCACAGGTTTACATCTCCCATAACAAATAATGATAAAAACACTAACATTATCTATGTGATAGATAACAAAAAAAGCATGCTCATGCTTAAAAATAAAATTAAAAAAATGGTAAATTTGCTTATTGCAACTTCAGCATTGCTCATAGCTGTGAGAAAATATGTAAAAATGTGTGAATACTTTCACGTCTAGAAATAGACAAGTCAGATGAACTTTCTAATGGAAATTCCCAGTCCTTGGAACAAGGTATTGCACCTCCCCTTAAAGCTCTTATATATGGGATTAAATGCCATTAAATGAAAATAGTTTAACCCCTCGTTCTTCACCAACACTGATATCTCGACTATACGACATCTACTGCCTGTGTGTAAATGCAATATCACAAGTACTTGCTTGCTTCAAAGTATAAATCTCGATTTTTAGATGTAAAATGGAGTTCACACTGATCCACTAATGGGGCAATAATACCTAGTGCCAAAGGCATACAGATAGTGAATGAAATTTATATCATTGACTTATCAATATTTGTCAGATGCCTAAACATTTCTGTTGGGTCCTTTTCACATAAAACAAAGAATTTAGATCATAAGATCAACTTCTCCCTTATCTTTATGAGTACACTATGATGCATACTTTATCAATAATGAATCTTATCTTTTTTAAACCAAATCATTACATCACAAACTTAATAATCAATTCACTCTTAAAATACATGACATATTCATAATATTCAACATCATTGTTAAAGCCTCAGTAAAATATTTATCCCCCAGAATGATAAACATACACTATCACAAAATCTGGATATCTATGAACACATCGGCAATGTTAGGTAAGACGTCTTCCTGATAGACATAACATTTAATAGCAACAACAAACCCACCCAGCTACAAGCAACCAGTCTCATAGCACTTGTCAACACAAACTGACACTAAATTAATTTGTAAACTCCATCATGTCAGGCCACTCTCAGCCAATGAGATGCTCTGATTTAATTATATCTGTCGTCGAGGAGTATTTAACTCTTCCTCCAGGTCCTGTAACACTTGTTCCTGAACCAAGTGAGGTAATAAGTTACATAAATATTTACTTTCTAAGATTACCCAGCATCCTCATTTGACAGGCATAATTGTGTTTAGACGATAAAGGCACCAGTTGTCGGTGTCGGAGTTGAAGCAACTGTGATGATTGGCCGAGGGCAGATCCCAAAGGAGTCTCCCCACACAAGAACAATCTATGTTCTTTATCTTTGGTTTCAGTGCAGTTTAAATCAACGGGGGGACCAGGTACAAACTTGATGTACACACATGATATGTATCAAACTTCAATTATTGCAGCCATCAGTTCTCAGAAAACATTTTACAAAACCAATTATCTAGATTACTTGGACAGTGGCGATAAGATTCTTCTTTTAGATCAACCCTAATAGATGCTGCTGATCTGGTGTTCTGGGTTTTGATAAGTAAATGAGTTTTTAATGAATTGCCATAGTTTTCACCAATGTGAGTCAACATTCAGGTATTTACACTGAAATAAGAATAATGAAGAACCTTAGAAAATTAGGACATTGGTTGTAGTTGCTTCTTTTCTTATGTAAAACGTTTTTCACAGTTTTATTTTCCAAAATAATTTTTTTTAGATTGAACCGAAATGTCTAACTGCAACTGCAAATCATTCTAAATGCCGCGGGATGGTTCACCCTGAGGCATAACTTACCCAATAACTGATACATCAGCTGTGTAGTTATTTACACACTATGTGGGGGTGACTATTGAGGGGGAAACAACTATTGCGATAGCGATAGTCTATTGCGACCAACTATTGCATTACTATTCCAATAGGCTTTTCTCCTTGACTTGTCTCATTTGAAGTCACTTCCCAAATAAAGGTATAGTATATAATTATGAAAAAACCCAAGATGAAGTAGTTTCAGCCTCTTTAATAGCTGACAAGAAACTTGAAACCCAGATCAAATAAACGGTTAACTTGAGTAAACACAAACTCAATGAAGCTGCAAGTCTGCATCCAAACACCCTTTATTTTGCGCTGCGCATTTATCAGCGGAAGTCACTTACTAAACTATCGATAGTCACACATACTATCAATGCATCGATAGTTTTCCTTTCTACAATCGATTAATTGTTATCAGAGACTCAACAGTTGCCAAGACATTGATTGTTCGATGCATCGTTCCAGCCGTAACCAGTAGTGATGTCATCCTGTTGTTCTTAAGATTTCTTCAGGGCGCTGGGGTAGTTTAGTGGGTAGAGCGTTCGCTTGTCACGCCAAAGACCAGGGTTTGTTTCCCCACATGGGTACAATGTGTGAAGCCCATTTCTGGTGTCCCCCGCCATGATATTGCTGGAATATTGCTAAAAGTGGCGTTAAACTCACTCACTAACATAAGGTTTCTTCAAATAGTCAAAGCCTGCAAACTAGCTGGTCACCACACCAGGGAATTCCGAGAGATCTAGGTTACGAATGCATACCACTACATATTTCCATTGTACCCAGTCTTTCGATTACCTGTATTTCGATTTTGAGTTTGAACTATTCATATTCCCAAACATAACAGGAACAAATCTATGTACAAAGAACAAGACAAAACAGACAAAACAGACAAAACAAGGTATCCATAGCAACACCTGTAAGACATGGTAGTATCTATAATAATAACTGACAAGACTTTGGTATCCGTTGTGATAACTGACAAAACATGGTATCCATGATGATAACTGACAAGACATGGTATCCATGACAAAAACTGACAAGACAAGGTTTCCATGATGATAACTGACAAGACATGGTATCCATGATGATAAACTGACAAGGCGTGGAAACCATGATGATAACTTTTCTGCAAAATAGCATACAATCTAGAACAATCACAGATAATTTCTCTCACAACCATCTCTCTCCTCTCTGAAAGCTTGGGTATCCTGATTGTCATACTGCTTACGGATTGCTACTGTCATACAAGGTTGCACAGGTGGCCCAGTCATTTGAGTTCCACAACATCACTGTACAGAGTTGCTTCCCTTTAGAGAACCAGGGCCTTTCAAATCTTATATGTTCAAATCTTGGGACTTAAAACACTAAAGGTTTTTACAACAATGGCATGAAAATGGATAGAAACAACATCTTAATCAGCTGTGGAAGCAGAAACAACGATAACATTGGCACCAGGAATGGCACCAATTCATAACATCCATGTCATCGGCCGAAGAAGCAGAAACCATTATGACACTGGTGCCAGGAATGGTACCAATTCATAACATCCATGTCATCAGTCGAAGAAGCAGAAACCATAATGACACTGGCACCAGGAATGGCACCAATTCATAACATCCACGTCATCAGCCGAGGAAGCAGAAACCATAATGACACTGGCGCCAGGAATGGCACCATTTCATAACATCCACATCATCAGCTGAGGAAGCAGAAACCATGATGACACTGGTGCCAAGAATGGCACCATTTCATAACATCCACATCATCAGCTGAGGAAGCAGAAACCATGATGACACTGGCGCCAAGAATGGCACCATTTCATAACATCCACATCATCTTCTGAGGAAGCAGGAACTATGATGACACTGGCGCCAGGCACGGCACCATTTCAGAACAGCCACGTCATCTTCTGAGGAAGCAGAAACCACATGCCATGATGACCTGAACCTCTTTTGAACAATATACAATAATCATGAATCCTAGCAGATGATGATCACCTAGGTAACAGAGAGGCCATGTTGCAGTTTCCCTCAAAACACTGAACACATCATCTGGACCTATACTGAAACTTGACACTAGATCATGACTCACAGTGCCTCTTTAAGAGAGCCCTGTATGACTTGTCTAGCTGTCCTAAGTGACTTACGCTAACAGATCACTTCATAGAATGGAATTCAACTTTGGTATCAGGTAGATCCACAGGCACAACAGCTGAGTGGAAACTGAACAACAACTTGATGAAATCTGTGTCATTACCACACATCTTCACCATATTTCAAAATATATGTTAGACTCAGATCAAAAGTAACATCCATGGCAGATTCTCAGATATATAGAATACATTTCAATGATAGTATGTCCTAGTCTTGGAGCATGAGTATCTCTTACAGACACCAGGCCCCGATTTCTTGAAACAAACTTTTTTAAAAACAAGTTTTTACTCAAATTTCAAACTGAGTCTGACAATTTGAAACAGCTGAATTTTTAAACTCAACTGCATTTTTAAAATAAGAAAGCCCAAACAACTTCAGTAATCCATCCACCAAACTCAAATTGTCTAGTATGTTTGAGTTTAATATCAATTTCAGTTCATTCTGCTAAATGCATTTTCTCTATTTGAGTAAAAACTCGAACTTAAGTCAAAACTCAGACTTAAGTTTGTTTCGAGAAATCGGGGCCTGCAGGTTATCTTGATAAAAATCATTCATACTCTCATTCTTCATCCCATCCAGTTCCAGCACCCTGTACTCTTCCCATCTCCAGAGACATCAGACTTTAGGGTTCCTTACTACATCAGGGTTCTCTAAAGGAATATTTTTATTCAATCTCATAAAAAACTTTATTTCAGGGATCATATATTATTCTAGGCAAGCCTGTGGTAATAGGATTGTAAATGTCTTGAAGTTATTAGACAATCTGTCATAGAGAACTAGTTCTGAGTCATACACGTCTAGGATACTGTGGATCAAACAATGAAATTCAAATAAGTTATCTCAATATATTTGGCAGCTAATATGTTTAACTATATTACAATGACAATAACATAACGTACCACTTTCCCTGTGACTTAATCAGTCTGGAATTCAACAACAAGAAAGTCTTTATCACATATACATATCTCCAAACCAATCACAGAGAATCTGGTGTTCACATGATCCCTTCTCACCAATCATAGCTCATCACATGATCCAAACTGACCAATCACAATACTTCTCCAATCACTGCATGTATTATTGTCCAATCAGAGTCATTTTTCTCCATTTCTGCAGCACAAGGTCATCACATGACTAATTTTGACCAATCATATGTTGGTGTAGCATATCATTATTGCCAAGCAGAGTAACAAGACTGTAGAGTGGAGGTTTGAAGCTCCACTTTGGTAAAAGGAATACTTGTTGACAGGAGGAAATGTAGTCTGCCGGTGTTTTGGAGGAGTCTCTGCCTCTTGAAGGTAATCAGGCCTAGAACAAATGTGGACATGGTTGTCAGAATTGAATATTCCATCTCAAATATTTACAAAACAAATTGATATGTTAGGAATACCAGATCACCCTTAAATTAATGTTTTGTGTTGATAGCAACTGTGAGAGACATATATATTACTTTTCAACTTTTACCAAAGTCCTCAGCTGAAGTATCTATTTGGTAAACTAACTTGCACTGTTGGAAAAATATTTTGACTTTGAAATGCTAAATGTCAGGCTCTGTAGAAATAAATAATGATTACACAGCCATCATCAACTTACCCATCTCCCTCCATTCGGACCCACAGATCATTGAAAGTTTTTCTGCCACCACTATTTTTCTTTCTTTTTCGTTTTCCTCTGTGGTCAAAGGGCAAACTTCAAAAGAAGAAAGGAGTTGTAATGAGACTGATGTACAAGGAAGACCTAATAATCACCACATGATCCATTTCTACCTGTTGTAAGTAACACAACTCATTGTTAACACCTTCCTACCTGTCCCAGTTAACTCTTGTGTACATCTACCCATGAAGATCCGGGTAGAATAGGTCTTCAGCAGCCCATGCTTGCCACCAAAGGCGACCATGCTTGTTGTAAGAGACGACTAACGGGATCGAGTGATCAGGCTTGCTGACTTGGTTGACACATGTCATCGGTTCCCAACTGCGCAGATCGATGCTCATGCTGTTGATCACTGGATTGTCTGGTCCAGATTTGATTATTAACAGACCTCCGCCATATAGCTGGAATATTGCTGAGTGCGGCGTGAAGCTGGACTCACTCACTCACTTGTGTACATCTGACACCTTCCTACCTGTCCCAGTTAACACCTGTGTACATCTGACACCTTCCTACCTGTCTAATTAATACCTGTGTACACCTGACCCATTCGTACCTGTCAACATCAAGACTACTCCATAGGGCATCCAGCTGCTTCTGACGCTGCCTGGCCTTCATCTGTTTCCGCCGTTGCTTGCGGCGCCGTTGTTCATGTCTGATCCTGAATCATACATGTCACACATTGACAATCTCAGAAAACATCTCTACATAGACATAATGAGAGTACATTAACAAAGGTGATGACAATGAGATACAGATGATGAATGCAAATTCAAATTTATTTTTTTGAAATCTGAAGAAAGTGAGCATGATAAAGATGATATAAATTAACTTCTACCCCTTTTCAAACTACAAAAACACTGGATCATCTTATAACATTGTGCCAAGAATTCTGCAGCTCACCTCACTCAATCTGTATTTTCTGAGTGAAAAATAAAACTGTTTCAACACATGCAATGGTTGCTTTACCGAACTATTACCCACACAACATATATCAAGCCTGACGAGACAAAAATCAATAAGCAAGTATGATGCAATCAAATCTCTATAGAAAAGAACATCCAAAACAAACTGCAGTAGTTAGGTACCAATGCTAATGTTTCAAACAAATTTGGAAATATTTGAAGTAATTTAATGTTCTGACCATTTGAACTTCGCAGTCTCCAAGCATAAGGACTTGGAACTAAATTTGAACAATTCTTATCAAAATTTTATCCCCTAAAATATATAAATGTTCATGTATATGAAAAAAATTGAGCTTTTTAAGTTAAGGAATACCAATAAGGAAATTAACGTCAAATTTATTCTGGGAAAATGTAAAATGTTTACAGACAACCACAAACCTTGATGACGCACCGTGGCAAAATCTCATGTGTTCCTTAGGAGCAGATGAGCTGGTAAAACATTCCTCCACCAAACTGTGATGATTAGTAGCTAGTCATTTAATCTGATTAAGTCTCTACCAAGCTTTTAATGCCCCAAGAACATGCAATGCAAATGATGAAATGAAGATCAGAAAAAGCCTTGTAAAGGAAGCCTTGACAAACCAAAACCTGGAAACTGCCGAGAGTGTAGTCTGCATGCAAAGCATTATGAAACCAATACATCATCAAACTTAATTTCCTTAAAGTTAATAAAACAAAGAAAAAACCCATGTGTCATCCACCAGTATGCATGCAGATTGTTACTTGATCCAAACTAAGTCTTAATTTCTAGAAATATCTGCAAAGAGACATATTAAAAGCTTCAAAACCAAACAATTTCTTGAGCTAAAAAAATAACAAATCAGATCTATCATGGTCTTGTTGTTAATCATTCGTTGCTTTAAACCACAATTCCTATAAAACAATGAACACATTAAGAAAATGCAAGACTCTTTCATTTTAATTTTGATAACAGGTCAAGGTGAGATTTAGGGAAGGTCAAGGTCCTTTAGGGAACGGTTGGCCCAGTTATATAAACAAATGCAGTTCACCTAAATTAGGTCCTCCAATTAGGTGAGGCTTCCTGTACTCACAGGTACGGGAATTAAAAAACTTGAAAGATTTAATGGCAACTTCGCCTGATCGTATGAGTTGTCCTAATCTAATGCTAGCTTGATTTAGTTCATGTGTAAATGTCAAAACGTAAATGACAATTTGACTAACCATGAGTCATAGCTCAATAGACTGAGACAATAAATTTATCCAGGATTCTACAGTAAATGAACTTGGGAAGAAATCTGGGTAAAAAAATATTAATTTCCTCAAATGTGTCGATGAAATGCAAGTGACCTCTCCAAAAATGAAACATAAGTTACTATTATATAACATGAAGTTGAAAATTTGTAAGTCCAATTTGAGAATTAGAAAGGACATTTGCTGCAGGAGTGTGGCCAAAAATGAAATTGGTCTCTGTGCCGGTCTGGGAGAGTCCTTGACCTTGTATGAAAATGGCAGTGGACAGTGTGTTGAAAATCTTATAGGAATTGTGGTATCACTTCCGTTAAAAACTTCACAGGTAAAATCTGCCATGCTACTTCTAGTTCCAAAGGATATACCTTTTCTTGAAAAGATACTGGATATCTCCATAGAGCACATCCGAGGGGAGGGGGAACTCGGAGGTCACGTCAGCCAAAAAGTTTCTCCGAGGTTTATTGGATTTCTTAGAATTATGTGACTCGGGCAATCTAGAAATAGACACAGGAGTGTGTGAGTGAGAAGATTTTACACCACTTTTAGCAATATTCCAGCCATTTCATGATGAAGGGGACTAAGAATGGACTTCATTGTACACACTCAGGGAATCAAACCCAGGTGGTACTGAGCCGACAGTGTAACAACTTGGCTACCCTTGTGCTCACATCCAGCTAAAATGTCTTACTTACTGTATTATGTTGTTTCTTTCGAAAGATAATACCAAGAATATTAACTATGCATAAATACAGACACACCTTTATTGTCTTTGAATGAGAAATGAATTATAACTGGTCGATAACATTTTGAGTAAAATGTAATAATGATATATGGAAGAGTATGAGTGCCACATTCTAAAATATTTTCCACATGTATATAGATGATACATTCATCTCCACATATATTTATTATTATTATACGATATTTATATAGCGCACATATCCAGGCAACTAGTGCTTGCTCAAGGCGCTGGTATATTTTCCTTCGATCATTGGATGTCAATCTCAACGGCACATCGTGTTATCAATCTCAACTCCCTGGGGAGTATGCAACTCTTGCAGCCACTAGGTGCACCGAGTTATTGTGGCTTTCTAATGATATTATAATCATGTGTGTCATTACTCAGATAGTAATATTGTGTTCTGAAGTCTGAATATAGGGCCCTTACTGGATGTAGTTTATAATATATAAATATGTACACATAGTTTTGTTACATGAATTCATTTCTTTTTTTTAAGTGATACATTGAAAAGATTTCAATTGTTAAAATATAGAAAAAGCCAAATGAAAATAAACCTATCAACATGCTGTCAAACATTTGAATATATTGTATGTACAGTCTCATTTACATAGATAAAAGTATCTTGTACATAGAGGAAAGTATCTTGTACATAGATGAAAGTATCTTGTACAAGAGCACGAAAGTATCTTGTACAAGAGTATGAAAGTATCTTGTACATAGATGAAAGTATCTTGTACATAGATGAAAGAAAGAGAAAGTATCTTGTACATAGATGAAAGTATCTTGTACAAGAGTACGAAAGTATCTTGTACAAGAGTATGAAAGTATCTTGTACATAGATGAAAGTATCTTGTACATAGATGAAAGTATCTTGTACATAGATGAAAGTAACTTGTACGTATATGAAAGTATCATCTACGTAGATAAAAGCATCTTGTACGTATATGAAAGTATCATCTACGTAGATGTTAGTATAATCTCTGTCGATGTTAAGAATATTTCAGACCATGGCACATATACGTTTCCATAATGGTGTCATAATGTAACAGTGAAGAAACATTACCGGTATCTATCAATACAAAATGTTTAAATTTCCATATTTGTTAACTCTTTCTTGGTAGATGTATCAAGTTTCACATCTATATTATTTTCCATGAAAAAAAAAATTACAACTGTTTATTGGTGACAGACAGTGATTAGAAAATGATGATGATGATGATGATGATGATGATGACGATGACGACGACGACGATGATCATTCATTAGATAATCAGTATGTTTAATACAGAAGATAATATTACACAGGAGTACAAAAACTCTGAGCAAAGAAAAAGTCTGTATGTATACTATTCAAAATATGTTAAAGATCACCCACCACTGGAAGACTTGCATTATCCACCGGTGATCAGGTTTTCTTTAACTTCCAGTGAGTACTATATTTTTTAGCCTTGGTACACACAAACTGGCAGTTGGAAATTTCTTTTGATCAATTTTGTTCTATCATGAGTAAAACTGGTTCCTATGTGTTTACATCAGTGATGCAAAACATTTGATAATCAAATCATTTCCGCTAAATGTCAATCAATCAACATCTTAACTATTTCATAAACATTTAGCAAATCTTACATATTATATAATACAATGCATCTGATCACACTGCCTTCACTACCATAAATGTCATTTAGAACGCATTTGCAATAAATTGATGTTAAAAAAATATCTGTTTAATGGGACAAATATGACATTTATTACTTAACAATACCCCTATTTAATACAATTGCAAAAAGTAATATCTCCCTAAACACTTATTTCAGGTTTTATTTCCATACACTCAATAGTCCCTTAAAGTGATAAACATAAATTTACACTTTAATGGCACTATTTATCAAATGTTCAACGACATGTTCATGACACCATTCCAGATACCAAGGAAAGCGGCAAGACTTTACCGCTTTTTACCAATGGTTGAAAACCCATAAAACTATGTCATATCAAAGGCATTCAATCCGGGATGCTTGTAAAATATGTCAAATAACTCACTCACTTGATAAATGCTGATAAACAATAGATAAATAAACATGTGGTTCTTCTTTCAAAGCGATGGAGGCAGGCAAACAGTATGGTCTTTTCAGTCTTTATATTTAAAAAAAAAATCTTCTGGACATATTTCAATTTTATTTCCATCTTTCCATCAGAGATTTCTTAACTCAGTGTGTCACTTCAAAGCTTCTCTTATCTGACGGTTAAACATTTTATGTAGAAGACACCTTACTTGGAATGTATAGAGTTTTTTAGAATAAGTCTGTTGTTTTCTTTCAAGTCCATCACTTGATTGTCTGGTTTATTTACATGCCACTGTCACATGACAGGAGTAGTACTAAGTGGCGTCAGTGTCAGATTTGGTTGCTATGGCTACTCTTATTGACACCTGGTGTCATCACTGATTTTCAGTGATATTTCTTCACGTCTATTTTGCCTTATTAACGTAATTGCATACTTTAACTATGGCCAATCACGATAGAAGAATCAATCAATCCCTTTAACTTTGGTTGATCTCGATAGTAGATCATTGCTCACTTTTGCTTTAACTATGGCCGATCTGGATAGAAGATCATGGCTAACTTTGGTTTAACTATGGCCGAACTGGATAGAAGATCATAGCTAACTTTTCCTTTAACTATGGTCGATCCTGATAGAAGATCATAGCAAACTTTCCTTTTCACTGTGGCCGATCCTGATAGAAGATAATGGCTAACCTTTCTTTTAACTGTGGCCGATCTCAATGGAAGATCATAGCTAACTTTTCTTTTTACTGTGGCTGATCCTGATAGAAGATCATAGCTAACCTTTCTTTTAACTATGGCTGATCCTGATAGAAGATCATAGCTAACCTTTCTTTTAACTATGGCTGATCTGGATAGAAGATCATAACTAAGTTTTCCTTTAACTATGGCCGATCTGGATAGAAGATCATAGCTACGTTTTCCTTTAACTATGGTCGATCTGGATAGAAGATCATAGCTAACGTTTCCTTTAACTATAGCGTACATTGTTTGCTGGAACAACATGTTGGTCATAGCTCAACTCGCCAGAATAATGGTTTGTAATCAGCCATGAGTTGATACACGAAATGTCATGGTTGATTTCTTGGCCAATGAGTGGACCAACTGGGAACTGCAGAGACAGCTACCCTCGAGGGAAGAACTTACACTTCGATGGAAGTAGAAAATACTTACACTGGTATTTCTTCATCCGAGGCAGTGTGCGTTACATTAAATCCTGCTTCTTGTAAATGGTTGATTATGGTATTGTTGCCAAGAAAATGCCCTGGAATGCAAAACAGCGACTTTTAATGCAATGAATCGGGGAAGAAATACATGCGAGTATTTATCTCTGACATTAAATCAATACCCAAAGAACACAATATCTGTCTCATGAAATTATTTATGAACCAGATTTTACCATACCACCCTCATTAGGACATGGAAATGGCTGTTGAAGTTGACAAGATCACTGAGAACTACCAAAGCCTTCAGCCACTGATGCTTCATGCAAGAATTTCTGATGTTTTTAAAGTAATTATGGCCAAATGTTGCAGACTATGATTTCCTCTATCAGATTTGATTGGCATATTGGCCTTAGAGAAATACAATAATTGGGGCTAAGAATTCTGAATATGGATTCATAATATTATATTCTGACTATCATGTAGCCAAGAATATGGCATGACAGTTATATCTAAACTACTGACCCCAGACTCCTTATTTGTCAAATTATTCCTCTCCTAATAAAACAAGATGCAATTTGAAGCTAAACCTGTTGTTTCTAATGGCTGTTCATGTCTGATTTACCATCTTGGACATGAATGTGAATTTTCTTTCCATCAGATATCTTTATCATCCATGTCAAAGGCATCAGTCAAAAATAGAAGAAGTAAAAATATATTGCAAATATGTATTTATTGATGAAATTAATAAACATTGCGCCTTGCAGGCCTTAGTCATCGTCCAAGTTAGTCCAGTGGTTAAAGTGTTTGTTTGTTTGTTGTTTAATGTAGCACTCAGCAATGTTCCAGCTATATGACAGCAGTCTGTAAATCATCAAGTCTGGACCAGACAATCCAGTGATCAACATGATGCGCTTCGATCTACACAATTGGGATATGGTGACATGTCTTAACCAAGTCAGCGAGTCTGACCACCCCGATCCCAATAGTCGCCTCTTGCAACAAGCATTGGTTGGTGAAGACCAATTTTAACCCAGAACTTAACTGGTTAAAGGGTTTGTTCATGCTGGGTTTGATTCCCAAGATTTTGTCAGCATGATTATGTATCTAGGGTTGTCTGCACCATTCCTTGTGGCATCACGTAATTTCCTCCAACATTAAGCTGATGTAGCATAGCATAACTGGAGCATTGTTTAAAGGGTGTTAAACCCAACTCACTCACTCAAACATAACATGATGTAATATGAGCCACCTGCTCCAATTTTATCCCAGTTAAAAAGTAAAAATCAAATGTCCATGAGGCCATGTTTTTTATACATTATTGAACAGATCTGCCAACCTTAAAACAAAATAAAGTAACAGTGAAATATGAAATAGATTCTTTATGAATGAACTTGCACATTCACCACTAAGATTTGTGCTAAATAAATCTTCAATAACATGGGTGTACTTTGTACAGAAAAGTTTCTGTTGTTAAAATGTCAGATAAGTGGATTTTTGCTGAAAGAAGCAAAAATTCCAATTCACTTGGTGAATGCAGGTGAAAATGGCACAATTATCAACACATAGCATTACATCTCATACCAAGGATCTTCTGATACATTTCAGGACCTGATAGAACATGATTGGCATGTTTACCTAACCATCAGAACCTGGTGAAATAAACATGACATTTCCACTGCTTCTGAAAGTACGTCCCAATCCTGGGTGGGTGAGACAGTGCAAAGCAATAGATCAAAAGTTTCCAGAATCACTTTTTTCATATCAAAGCTTGATTTCCTTTGATTTTAACCCCTGCTACCCTGATGAGGCAGAAAATATTGTTGAGAGACCGGCATGGTTCTCAATGACATCCTGTTTACTACAGGTACATCATGTTAATGGTTTTGTGGAACTACAGGTAAATCATGTTAATGGTTTTGTGGAACTACAGGTACATCATGTTAATGGTTTTGTGGAACTACAGGTAAATCATGTTAATGGTTTTGTGGAACTACAGGTAAATCATGTTAATGGTTTTGTGGAACTACAGGTACATCATGTTAATGGTTTTGTGGAACTACAGGTAAATCATGTCAATGGTTTTATGGAACTACAGGTAAATCATGTTAATGATTTTGTGGAACAACAGGTAAATCATGTTAATGGTTTTGTGGAACTACAGGTAAATCATGTTAATGGTTTTGTGGAACTACAGGTAAATCATGTTAATGGTTTTGTGGAACTACAGGTAAATCATGTTAATGGTTTTGTGGAACTACAGGTAAATCATGTCAATGGTTTTATGGAACTACTGGTAAATCATGTTAATGATTTTGTGGAACTACAGGTAAATCATGTTAATGGTTTTGTGGAACTTTCAGTACATTGTTCTGTTCTATGTCATCCCACTTATGTCAAGGGCGGTGGGGTAGCCTTGTGGTTAAAGCGTTTTCCCGTCACACCGAAGACCCGGGTTCGATTCCCCACATTTGCATCAATTAAACAATAGTGTATGAACCCTGTCTAATGTCAGTTACAAAGAAAAGGATATATTTCCATTACATATACGATGTAATGGTCATATTTCTGTCAAAAACAACTTATTCAGTTACAGACTCAGCTTAATTAATAATCTGATTTAGAACCTAAAATATATACTATATCTTAAAGAATGATTCTGTTCCTTTTACTCTAAATTTATCTTCCACAAAATACTTATGACCCATATCATCAAAAGACAAAAGCGAATTCTTGGATAAACAGATTTGAACAAAAATCAAGGGAATTAGCAATTTGTCTCTTTTATCTCAACTCCTAAACTGTTTGTGTTTCTGTTGCAGGGTATGGTTTTTGCAGAAAACTAAATTAACTTTGTCTGTTTAAAGCTGTCTGGAGACATTAGCAGTAAACTGTGTACAACTGGTGAGTGCTTCCTAGCACTGTAGACGAATTAACATTGACACTGATGAAATGGCTTTGAAGTGAGCAAACGAACACAGAGGTAGTTTTTAGCTATCATGTACACATCCAGCCTGCAGAACCTGTGTACGTCAAGTCCTTTGTTTCAGTGAGAGGAAAACCTTGACAGTTTGTCTCTACTTGCCCCTTAATGGAGGGAATGGATACATAATATGATGAAAATTTGTCTGAACAGTTTCATAGGTTATTACCAGTAATGCATGGAGGAAATATATGGAGGACAAATTCCATATTTATTGAGATTCAGGAAACAGTTGACAAGATTTATCATTGTTGTTGACTCAAGGTAAAACTGCTTGAATGAAATAAGTCCTCTTTTTAACATATTGACGCTCTGACATTACATAAGCTATGGACTCTCACGTTTATGGTGCTACTGATCAGATACAACATCTTTCAGATACAACAAAAACACTACACCTTTAAGATACTACAGCTCAAGCACTGTACCTTTAAGATGCTACAGATCTGGCACTCCAATTAAAGCTACTACAATGAAAGGCACTACACCTTTAAGATACTGCACCTTAGGCAATACACCTTTAAGATACTACAGCGAAATGCACTACACCTTTAGATACTACAATGAAAGGCAATACACCTTTAAGATACTACAGTGAAATGCACTACACCTTTAAGATACTACAGGAAAAGGCACCACACCTTTAAGGTACTACAGCTCAGGCACTCCAGTTAAGCTACTACAGTCACAGGCACTACACCTTTAACATACTACACCTCAGGCACTGTACTTTTAAGATACTACAGATAAAGTCACTACACCTTGAGCCTACAGCTCAGGCACTCGTAATTAAGTTACTACAGCTCAACAACAACACCTTTAAGATCCTACAACTCAGGCACCCCAAATTAAGTTACAACGTATCTAACGCTAGACCTTTAAGATGTGGCAACTCTGACAGGACTCCTTCATGACACTTCTAACGCTATTCTTTTAAGATACCACACTTAACACACGTTTCACATGATACAACTCCTCACTGCACCTTTAAGATGGTACAGTTGAGACATGACAACTCTAAGGCACAACAACTCATACTTAATCTTTAAAAAAGCTAGAAGTCAGACACTATCACTTTAAGAGCTTCATATTTTGACTAAGCTTCAAAGAAATTCTGTGTTGAGATTATTTTCTCCTGATCAACTCTCCGCCCACGCTGTAGCACGTAACTACCTTGTACTAAGATTTACCTGGGGTGTGAGTAGGCTGTGGCTCATATAAATGATGCATATTTGAGAAGACATAATTTTTCTCTTTGCTTTAATGACTTCCTAAGGTCTTGACACGACCTTATTATTGTGAACTAATAATCTTTTACAACCGTGCATGTGAAATATCGCTTAAACTGGTTTTATGAGAGCTTATAGCGTCTTTTTTACACGGCTGATGGGTTCTGAAATATCTCACAATAATAAACAGTGAAGCCTAAAAATACGACCCTGATATAATATTTCTTTCCCTTGAAACGTGTATATGAATTACATGAATATTTACATATCAGTATCATTCAACATGTAGTTTGATAAGGACATGTTTAGAGCTGCGTGACATTTTATAGATGCTATGTTAGCTTTGATATATGACATTAAACATATTTGTTCTGGAGAATGCATTTAAATATGCTTGAGTATTTATACTACATTTTTAGCATTCAGCAAAGTTATTTTACTTTAGTTGAAAATTTGAAACCAAAATATATTACTGCACCGGTATCTCATTTCTTAAAGACTGATTGAGTTTAACTTTATGCCGCTTTTAACAATATTCCAACAATATCATGGCCGGGGACACCAGAAATGGGCTTCACACATACCCATGTGGGGAATTGAACCCACCACCCAACCCACCATCATTCAGAAATGGGTGGCCCAGTGATATGGTGGTTCATGGTTTGTCAAGATATACATAGATGGGTGCTTGATGGATGGATGGATGGATGGGTGCTTGATAGATATGGATCATGAGGATATAGATGGATGGGTGCTTGGTGGATATGGATCATGAGGATACAGATGGATGGACAGACATACAGACATATTTATTTGTATATGTGGCCCTGAGGCCAATAGTACATGTGTACAATAATAACAATGCATTTATGCGCAACCTGTAAATACG